AGTATCTATATATATATATATATAAGCTTGATAATCCTTACAAAGCAGCTTTTTAAATATAGGGAATGAGGAAACACTTATTTGTAAAGAATGCATTTGCTTTATGGATTTCCTTGAATTTTTCGTTGCTTGGGATGCCATTTACTATTTTTTCCTCCGAAAATTTGTCGATTTACACTTTCAATAAACTTAAAGAATTCTACTTTTTTTTTTTGTAAATTCATGTAATCCCCTTTTTTGATACATTATCTTCTGTAGACACAATTTTAGGGATTCTATGCAACTGAAAATCATCGTGTTTGGAGCGCCAGGAAGCGGCAAAGGGACCATCAGTGAACGTCTTGTGTGTGATTATGGGTTTTACCATATCAGTGCAGGGGAGCTTCTTCGCAACGAAGTTGAGAAGCGGTCACCCCTAGGTCTGCAGTGTGCAGCCCTGATGTCGGCAGGTGAATTAATCCCAGATAAGCTCATGATAGACATGATCTGCCAAGTCCTTAAAGGTTCTCCAGTTAAAGATAAGCCCATCCTATTAGACGGTTTCCCTCGAACGCTGAAACAGGCAAAGGAACTCACAATACGTGGGTTTAACTTTGACATTATGTTTTACCTTCGTGTGGATCGGGATGCGTTGCTTGAAAGATGCTTATCCCGGCGGCAGGATCCTGTTACCAAAAAAATATACAACATAATGATCGATACTCCACCGCCTGAAATTTTAGATCGTCTTCAAATACGCTCAGATGACACTAAAGAAAAGCATAATCGACGTATGAATATCTTTTTGAAACAAAAGGAAGATTTGGCTCGTTATTATTTTGATATTCTAATGGAAGTTGACGCTAACTCCAGCGTTGAGGAGGTATACAAAAAAATCAAGATATACATTGATTGGCATATTCAACAGGACCATCTAGAAAATGAACTTAATTTTGACAGCCATTTGTGATAAATTCATGAATATAATTCTCTCTTTGTTTATGTAATGGTCATATCTCTTTTGAAACCTTGGGCTAGCTTAAAAAAAAAAATACAAAACTAACAATTGCATACATAAAGTCTGAAAATATGGAGAAATAAGGTAGAAGTTATTATGAATAACCTATCTTTTTGCTATTGAATGAGTGTCTCTAAATATATGAAACACTATCAAAACAGGTATAAGTATATTAAGAAGTGCAATATATATATATATTCATTTTCCATACCTATATATACTTACTGAATATATATAAAGGCATACGGCTGGGATAATGTATAGCAAATGAACTAAAAAAATCATAATATTGTCAACCGTATGCATTTGTTATATCCATGCCGTAGAATGCAATATATATAAAAAAGAGAGAGCAGACAAAAGCAATAATTTAATTTATCCAATTTATATACCTTTTACGCCAATGATTTTCAAAAATAAACAAGTAGTTTGGGTGAATGTGGTCTTGATATCTGGGAAATAATCCAATTCATTTATAAGCTGATTAAACAATTTCACTTCAACCATTAAAGTTCTCGTTAAAGTGAAACCATATTTGCTTACTTTTAATAAAGGACAACATTACTTTCTCATAGCGTGATTTCTGCAGTGCTCTTATGTAGACCCAATACTCTATTGCTTAGGATCTTTCAGATTTGGCCCATTTCCATCAACATCAATGTCCTTTTTACCTGAACATGGACAAAAATCAAGTTCCGTTTTTTTGTAGTTCTCCAAAAAGCGAGGAAAAATAAGCAAGGAAACATTCGCGTCGCTTGTAATCACGCTCAATAACATTTGTGATTCTCATCGTATCAGTTATATTGCTTATCAACAGGGTGAACACAACACCAGCCGTAGAGATGAAAAATGGAATAGGACAGTTTGTGTTCAAAAGACGCCAAGACGTATGTTCCTTCCTGTAAAAAACTTAAACTGCTTTTCCGTTTTTTCCAGCTTTTCGAATGACTGAGATTCCATAGACCTTTTTAATAGTACTCTTCTGTATATTTTGCCTTCGGATGTCAACAAGTTACCAGTTGAGAATGGAAAAAAGAGTACTATTAGTGACTGTCTTCCTTGATGATATGTCCCTTTGGGGGAGGGAGAGTAACATTTACCCGTTCCACGTAACTCGTGTCTCTCCATTCTATTTGTTTAGCTAGTGTAAACCCCTTTGGATTTGGTTGGGAATATGACACCCTCGAGAGATCTATTCGCGATGAGTGACACACTTCCAGCGTCTGCTAAAGAAGACATAAAAGTAGCATTTGTAGTCATACTGGACGTCCTAGTTGCTGTTGGACCACAAATCGGATATCTTTTTCAGTTCGTCAACATTCATCTAGCACACAGTTCGTCTGGATACTCTCCTCTGGTCTCGCTCATCGTGTTGGGTAGTAATACAATCCGTATTTACTATTACTATGGTTACCATTATCGCCTGTCTTTGGTTATTCAGGCCCTATTATCTATACTCGTGCACCTAGCCCTTCTCCACAAGCTGATTACTCTAAATACAGAAGAACAACAAATAAACAACAGGTACTACAATGGTAACAGAGAGGTAGTGGTGCTTGAAGGCGCAAATTCAGCTTTCGTTGCTGGATACCAGCCAAACCTCATGTGCAAGGAGGAGTCTACGATCTCGACCCCCACCGCTACCCTACCTCTCAATCATCGGGGTGATGACCTTAATTCGAACTCGCCTCAATGTGGCTTTTGCTATGCCCTTCACCGGCTATTAAACATAGTGGAAACTCGGTTTAACTCCACAAATCTCTCCAAATTCTGGGCAACCTATAGTCTATGTGCTTTGTTCGGCCTTATAGCTTCTGTTTTTCTTTTCGACTATACGGGATATAATTGGCTCTCGGTTGCTTTTGTTGGGTATTTGGCCCTATGCACGGAGGCGCTTTTGCTTGTACCCCAGGTTATTCGAAACTCCAATGAAGGCTCTACAGAAGGACTTTCACCAGTTCTCATCTTCTGCTGGGCTGGTGGCGATGTGTTGAAACTTATTTACTTTATCCTTATGAAGCAATCAATACCTTTTTGGGTATGTGCTATTTTCCAGTTGTTTGTAGATTTTGTGTTACTTGGACAGATTATTTATTTTGGTTGGCAAAGACGTGTAGATGATAATGTCGCTCCACCTCAAGTTGGGAACAATCCCTCTCCATAGAATATCTCGAAAAAAATTGAACATTGGTGTATGTGCACTATTTCTCCTTTCTCCCCTCCTTCTCTACTCCCTCCAAAAAAATGTGACCTGAATTAATACTTATTATTATTTCTATAATTTATTAACCAGTGTTGCTTGATTGGAAACATTAGCAATATTTGGACCGTAAAACTCTTAAAAAGAGTTTGGTTATCCCCTCATTCTTGATATAGTCAATAGACTTGAGGGTTAAAAAAAAATCTAGGAACTATAGTTTTCTTATGATGACTTATTGGAACAAACGAGTTTGATAATATTACGGCATTTTACCTAACAAAAAAAAGTTCAACACATGGATATGGAAATGGGACGTCTATGGTGAATAGAATTATTTTTTTCGACAATACCTCGTTTTAATTCATCTGCATCATTATAGTTCTTTAAAAAGTTTTGTAAATACCAAATATTCTAGATCTTGTAGTGTCAAAATACGCCGCCCTGG